GTCAACCGATACACCCATACAGTAGAAACATTCACCTCCCACTTGTATGCCATCTGTCGCTCCTTTGGTCCACTTTTTGACAGCACTATCACCTTCAATAGCAGCATAAATTGTTTGTCCATCCATGTCGTCATCGACAAAGATCTTCGTAGGATATGTAATATTGTATATTACTGTAGTACCCGTTGTCTGCAAGTTATTGAGTGTAAACATTTGTACCCTGTTATTGCTTGAGTCAGCTATATACAATGTATTAGTTGGTCTATGAATAAAAATTCCCATGGGACCGTTGAGTTGATCAGACTTGTCGCCTCTTCCGCCAACACCAGCCACTATATTGCCTGTTGTGTTCCATTTTGCACAAGGACTCACTTTTATCGATCCCACAGGCGGCAGACAACACAAGAATACAATTTGAACATATAGAAACGTTAATAAAACTTTGTTACTCTGCTCATTATTGAATGTACGAATATACATGATAGGAATTTTCGTCAACAAAGACACCTATCAGTATAATTTGAAAAAAGAAAAAGTTTAGTGTTACAACACAACAAAGGTAAATTGAAGATGTATGTAAGCTAAAAAAGATAAGATATATTTATGAATGAATCACATATGTAATAGATAACAAATGAAAATGATGCATCAATGATACTGCAGAGTAGGCCACATGTAACTTGACGAGAAAAAAAAGAAGTTGTAATGATTCTATTTCATAAATTTTCTCAAAATTTCTATTTGAGTTATATTTATAATACAATCAACCAGTATCTACCAAAACCAATTCCTGTCTTACTCATTGCGACTGCAAATAATTGAATAATTGAATTGATCGAATGAGAAGAAGAATATTTTCCTTATTCATTAATTGATTTTATTTTTAAAAAGCTAGATATTTATACCCATCCTATCCAGACACATACAAGTGAGAGAGAAACAATGATCTAAGTGCATCCCTCTTACTTCTTGTCAAAGTGAATAAAAACAAAGAAGATGATGTAAAATACATCTTCTTTCTAATTGAGCAAGAAGTAAACAAACACGTACAATAAAATAAGAAAAAGAAAGATGTAGAAAATAGAGAAGAAAAAAATAATACGAATGTTGTTAGAGTGTTGTCTAACATTTGTACATTAGATATTGAATGAGTTCATAGAAAAAGATCAAAAATGTTAATTTAGCAACAGCAAACCTTGGCACATGATCTTTTGACGGTGACAGTTTTCTTTCTGATGACTTTGCAACATGGTTTGCAGCAGCACACAGTTTTAGTTACACAACATTTTGGACCGCAGCAGCAACAATCACAATCACAGCAGCAGGGATCACAGCACGAGCAACAACAAGGATCACAACAGCATGGATCACAGCATGAACTACAGCATGAACCGCAGCCACAGCCACAGCCACAGCCACAACCACAACCGCATCCACAACCGCAACCACAACCACAGCCTGGCATATTAATAGTAATAATGTAGTGAAGAATAAAACTGGAGTAAGATGAGAACTGGTTTGTGAAACTATGAAAATAGGTATGTGTATATATATAGAGGCACAAAAACGGCGAAAGTTGTTTTCATTAGATAAAAACAATTCATTACTATCCTCATGTGACAATGCCTGACATTCACATGTGATAGAAAAATATATGGAGAGACATAAGTTACACTTTGTTACTATTCATGCAAATACAACAAAAATATGAAATTCACGTTTATTAGCAATGTCTTTCTTTTGATTTGTTTGATAGTGTAGAAAAACATCTAAATTTAATTTCATGTTCACCTTGTGATCACAACTCTCAAAGGGTAAATGTCATTTGATACACTTTTTCATAAAAACAAACTAAATGTTTTTGATGAAAAATATTGATTTTTACGTTGTAGTACACACACGTTGTAATATAGTAAATTTATGTGAACATCATAACACAATACAACACAAAAGATAGCATTGAGAAAAATATATAATATATGGATACAAAAACATATAATAATGATTGATCTTATTTCTGTTTTCAGTACTTGATATCAAAATAAATATATGTATATAATCATACAAAAGATATTTTTATAATATGTAATGTTTTATTCTAAATTTCTCATTTATTAATAAAAAAATGGGAGCAAGCTATGAGGCGAAGCGTAATCCGAATATAATAATAAAGAAAGCACTAAAGCCAAAAAAGTTGTGTCCTTATAATTAAAAAGTAGATAGAAAAGAGGCATATATGTAAGAAGAGCTAAGAATTTTAAAATTTGGCTTTGGTACTAGTGTAACCAGTAGAGTTAACACCACCGCCTGATGTGTATGTTTTTTCAATGGTGGTTGAGCGAAATCCACCGCTATTTCTTCCAACATAACTATCGTCAATTTCACCACTGATAAGACCACCTTCAATATGTGAAAAATAAATAAATTAAAAAAGAAAGACACACTACACATACCGTTTCTATTACCAGACGAACTTGTGTAGCCACTGGTCGAGTATGATGAATAACCACCTATATCTTCACCACCAATCCTATGAGTTGCATCTGAACTGTATGTTAGTGAAGTCACGCCAGATGGAATAGACTAAACAAATAAGAGAAATAAGTAGAAATACAAAGAAGAATTATAAAAATCTATTTATACTTACAATATCTTCAATAACACCAGCAGCACGAGCTTGTTCAAGAAGAGTTCGACTATCAAGTAATTCTGTGCGATATTGGCTAATATAAGTTTGTGGATCTTCTCGAGTGACACCCAATTGTTGAAATTCTCGATGAACACGAGCTCCAGTTGATTCGTATTCGATGATGACATTACGTACTGGAGTATACTCTTTAGTTTCTTCAGCTCGATGAACAATTGTTTTTCGATCGGCACCAGCAGTATATGGAAGCCAACGTTCGATGATAATATCACCTGTAATATAAGTTGATATTAATGGAATGAGATAATAGGAAAGAAAAAAACAATATACTAACGTGGTCGAGGTGGAGGAGCTGGATAACGTTCAATAATGACCGATCGTGGTGGTGGTGGTAAAGCAGGAAGATTTCGGATAATTGTTTCTGAAGGAATTTGAGCTGGTGGTGTAGGTGGTCTTTCACGAAGAATAAGTGGAGGAAGTTGTGGAGGAGCTGGTTCATGTTGTATAATACGAAGCGGTGGTAGAGGAGCAGGTGTAGGTGGACGCACTTCTTTGATGATGAGTGGCTACAGAAATACAATGATTATTAAGAAAAAAAAAAATACTAAATTTAGCTTACACCAGCTGATGCAATAGGTGGTGGTTGTAAATAGCGGATTCGAATGTGTTGGGTAAAGGTGTGAGTACCACCAGGTATTTGTCGTCGAATTATTTGAGGATGAGGATCGTAATAGAGACCAACACCTCGTACTTCAGCACCATATCTGGACCAAGCTGCATCGGTCTCAGCAGTGTAGCTAGCAGCTCGCCTAAGTGCTTCAGCATCATAATCACTGCTTACTTCATATGAATGTGTATGATAGGTACCACTGTGACCAACATCTTCATAGCCGACACCAGATGAACGTTTTAACGCTTCATACGACGATGATTTATGTTTACCACCAACCAACGCTGCTAATTCATCACGATCAATTACACCATCGTTGTTGGCATCAAGTTGATCAAAGAGTTCATCAGCATGAATACTATTTCTTGGCGACGAATATGAACCTTCGTTCTTGGATGTCATGTTATTGTAGATGTGTTGTTGTAAGTAAGAATAGCAAATGTTCGACGACGAACACTAAATGAAGGTATTGCTACTCTGTCTTTCACTTTTTCTTATATAGTAGTTACCACACCAAAGATAAAACTTATTTTTTCTTTTCTTTAACACATATTCCAAATGTTTGCGTGTGATAATATTATAAGAGAATGCTAGCTCTACCGCCGATAAGACTCAACCTGGGGTATCATTTTATTAAGAAAGACAACTATTTTTAAATTGAAAAAAAAGAATGTATTGTTGATAGACAAATGAATAAAGATAAGACTGGTAGGATTCCCTTTGTTGTGGGTTTTTTTTTCAAGTCTTGAATTTCTGGCTCAGAACTTAGTTTTGCATGGCTCTAGACCCTTTGTGATGTTTAAAAATATATTTAGTTTTATTTTGTCGCAGATTATTATAAGTTTACAAATCACTGAGAATGGGAATTCAATTTTGATTCCTAACAGTAAGAGATCCTACCTAACAGATAGGGTGTGGGTG